CTTGTATTTATGCATGTTAATTATGCATGTTAATCAATTTTAGTAATGTTACAAAATACAAAAAAAAAAAAAAAAAATCAAAAAAAATCAAAAAATCAAAAAATCAAAAAATCAAAAATTAAAAAATTTCAAAAAAAAAAAATAAAAAATAAAAAAATGGAGCAGAGTTTAAAAATTAGTGATTACAATTATAAAGACAATTTTATTTTGCTTAATTTTTGATTTTACAAGTCTAATTGTTTTAATTACATTACCGTAAATGCAATATATCTATTAATAATGTAAAATACTGTATGTTTTTGATTTTATATATCTAATTACATTAATTATTACCACAAATGCAACATATCTACTAATTCTTATATATCAACTATGTATTATGATTTAAAAATATAATAGCATTTTTTCAGTATTTGAAATCTCTACTGTTTGCTATGTTTACTATTTCTCCCCATAATACACTATCTAATTTAACATTCACATTATCACCCCAGAATCTTCTGATATCTGTGCTTTTGACACGAGAGTTTTATTAGAATTAATAGTCAGCACCTTCAATAGATTATGTAAGATGTACATTGATCGTACAAAAAAATGAAGATCATTGATTGCTTTAGGCTGGTGAAATTCTAGATTGTTATTCAGAATATCTGGTGAAGCAAATAAAATTGTTCCTTCATAAGGCACCTAATCGTTTGGAGGATTACGGATTGCTGATCTCCAGTCAGCAAGAATTAGCGAATTATTATCAGTATCTAACAAGATATTTTCTGAATAAATATCATGATGAAAAACCTTTAAACTATAAATATGTCTCAATAGGTGAAGGAGCTATAGAGTATTATATGACTGGAATTGATGATCTCTACTAATTCGTTTACAAATTGGAAAAATAATTATTGAATGATTATCATGCGTAATGTAATTTAAAATGTTTCGAATATTATTCTCATTCAAAAATTGTAGAATTTGTGCTTCACAATATAGATCAACATTTTGAAAATGCTTTAAAGTAACTTGAGTATTATTGTAATTAATTTTATATACTATCAAAGTTAAACTCAGGCCTAAAAATTTCATCGGGTGTATATTTTTGTATTGCATGAATGTTGTGTAAAATCTGATGTTTCTAGGTCTGACCATTCTTGTATAAGATGAGTCAAATTAGAACAATATGTAAAAAAGGCGCAATCCGTTTCTGAAATTAGTCGTAAATTCTCTATATTGTTTGGTATTCCTTTCATAAACCATTACATGGAAATGAAATCCATCTGATAGAAATAATGCAAAATGTTCACATAGTGGCTGGTGTTGAATAAGAACATTCAAGTAATCTATTAATTAGCCTTTATCTTCATCAACTAAGCTACTTACACTTTTTTTTTACCTCTAAAAGAGTTTGTACAAATATAGAAATATAAGTTTTATTTCTGGCATCATCTTCAAGAAAGATGCTTAAATCCAGCTTAAATACGTTAAGATATGGATTAACGTGTGTATCCTTAACAATAAATTTCTTATTAAATTTTGGAAGCTCTAACATCAGATCATTGAACCAATTTTGAACTTCATCTTCTGTTTCAGTTAGTATGAGATTATTTTGCAGGTAAACATCAACAGATCTATTACTAGCAAAACTACTAAGATAAGTGTCAGGCTTCATCTTACTTAAAAAGAATTTCACATCAGCTTTTTTAAAAATAATTTTCTGATAAGCTCTTATGCGTGTTTTGAAGCCTGAAATGTATAAATATAAGATTAATACAAGTGAAATTGCCTAAATTTTACATAAAAAAACTAATACCTGTATTATCTCTTTCTTTCTCAGATTGAATCAACATTTTCTTCATAATTTCTGAGGTTTACTTCATAACTTCTGAATTTTATTTTATAACTCTCACTAACATAGTAAGTGGTAAAACTGATGTATTCGTAGTACTCGCATTAGTTACGTTCTATAAAATAACTGTGAATATAGCACATTGAAATTGTAATATATTATATTAATAATATACCATTTGTCCAAAGAGGTCTGCGAGATTTTTCACGGAAGCTGAAAATAAAATGTAGATGGTTGGTTATTAAGTCATATCATGTTCACTTGCATTGACTATTTTATTACGACTCACTTATCAGTGGTAACGGCTTATTCTATGATAATGTGAATATATTTTTGGACAGGTTTAACGATAAGAAGCAGGAAAGAAAAACACAAGAATAAGTAAATATTTGGTATTATTAGTGAATATAACAATAAAGATAAATCATAGAAATATACTCAGAGTAGACTTCTTTGATAGACCTCTCAAGTATTTAAGCTTAGTGCTATTTGTTTACCAGAAATTACATAAGTTTTCTATCTCAACTAATATAGTATCATTGCTGGTAAGATATATGAATAAATTAGCCTTCTCATCCTCACTTAATTGATCAGGCTCTTAGTCGAGATTTCAAATAATATTAAAAATATTAATAAGTGACATTACTTTTATTTATAATTTTTGCATAAAAAAATAGTTTCACAGTTTCACAAGTAGTTTGAAAAAGAAGATTTTGGTGATTGATACGTATATAAGAAATTGATTATTACACAGATTGATCTGACTTATCAGTTGATTGTGCAACTGACTTAATATTACTAACAATCATGCTTTACAATACTTTATATAAAAAAGTGTTAAACTTCGAGATTGTAGTGCGCTTCACAGTCTCAAGATTTTGTAGTTTTTACACGAAGAATATTAATGGTACTTTATTAATACATGCAGAAGATAAAAAAAATAAATACAAACGCGAGAGTACATAGTAAAGCTTCTATGCTACAATTGCGAACTTAAATTTATTGCTTAAAGTGTTGTAGGTAAGACAATATTCCAGCTTATCTTGGAAATACAACTTCACTAATTCAGAATCATAAGGGAGCTGATTCCCATTTTTGCAGTACCATAAGCTATGTAATCTATAATTCCTATGTTTTTCATTATAAATAAGATATGATGAGCTTCACAGCTGAGGTGATGCAAAATTATAATTATCAATCCCTCTGAAACTATTTCAGAATTTCAAGTATGTGAAATGCTCTAACATGGATTTGATAATTAACTCTGAATCAGTTTTAATTTCGAAGGTGATAGGTTTGAAATCAGAGGCTTGAAGTTTTCTGATATACTTATTATAGCTTATCATGGCTCATTTCCAGTTCTTTTTTATATCTTTTGTATAAGTTGGAACGAATCTTATCTATCAAAATGCTTGGTAATCCACTTAATTTGGCATGCTAATCCAGATATTCAGAAATTAATACTTTATCAGACTTGGTTATATTGTTTTTTTATATAGTTGTAAATCAATTTAAATTATAGTAAGTATAGTTGACATAAATTAGCTCTATAAAAAATATCACAATGAAGCATAAGCAAATATGTAAGTACCTTTGATCAAGTAACCAGATTATGCAGTTATCTCAAATTCATTTAATAAAGTAAGATCTGGCTTTATACCTACCTTCTATTTTTTCATCATTATGACCTAACTTGCATAATAGGTAGATGATCTCTCTCAAAACCCCGCATGATATTGCATCAGTAATCCTATAATAATTGAAATGTTCACTACTACATTCTCTATATAGATTAGGATATTGATCTAATATATTGTTGTAAAAATAGAACAGTCATAAGTTAGCTTAGATTAACTAGAAGAAGATGCAGATAATACATTTGTTACCTTAACTGAATCTAAGTATTGCTCTTGTATCTCTGATGTATTAGTCAGATTGGTTTTCAAAGTTTGAGATATAAGTGAAATGCTTACCTCAGCATCTGATAATTTTTTTGGGACAAACCACTGACTTTTCTCAAGTAGGACTTTAGGTCTCACTTTTTCTGTATTTTTGCATACAGAATATGAGTTAGGCTTTTTTAGCTCTATATCAGCATAGTTAGATCCACTAAAATAATCCAGAATAATTTGGATTTGAGGCTTAGTAAACTTTGAAATAGAATTCACGCTGTAAGACTTAATATTCTTAATTTTATCTACTTCTATCTTTTTGAATAGTTTGTAGATCTTTATAGCTCTTTGGGTTCTTTTTCGTAATGTTATTCCAGAAAGGTACTTTATTATATTCTGGAATAATTGTTTTCTTATATTTGATCTAAAATATTAATTTTGGCAATAATTTCTTGAATGCTCTCTTCGAATTTTTTCCCATATGAGTGGCAACATAAAATCTCTTTAAATTTAGCCTGCGTAGTGTTTTTTTCTTCAATACTTACTTTTAGAAATAAATGAGCAAGCTCAACTTCTATTGTTACGTCAGTTGTAAGCTCCTGATTTCTATCAATAACTTAGATATCATCTTCATCTATCAACTCTAAAGTCACATCTTATATAAAATTTTGGGCTATTATATAATCCTGAGAAACCTTAGTTTCTTTGGGTAGTACTTGAAATATTACTTCTAGTATCATTTCTCACAATGATTGTGAATTACTTTTATTAGCTTCAGTTTCTACAGAATCATTGAAATCTTCAAGGGATATATTAGAAGTATTTGAGAAGTTGAATTCTCGTTCTGATCTCAATATAAAAGTGCTAACTCATGCAAAAGTTTCTTCTCCCTGTTTCTCTGTCTCATCATATTACTTATCTTTTTCTTACTCACTAAAACCAAGAATTCATCAGTCTTCCTATCCTTTAATGATTTATTAGATGTACTAGGCTGTATTGCAACGTCAACAATAACTCACTCCTGTTTGATTTTCCTGACATCACAGTTCAGTTCTACAATGAGTTTAGCCTTTTCTTTATCACTCTGCTTTAATTTTGCAAGTCTGGTCTTATTCTCTTCTATTGCCTGTTTTAGCTTAGCATTTTCAGCTTTAACTTTGGCATTTTTGGCTTTAATCTCAGCATTTTCAGCCAGGAACTTGATGACACGTTGTTTTAATAAATCAAGTTCAGATTGCATGTTTGATAATAACTTTCATATAGGATGCGATTATTTAAAATGCATTTTTACCTAAGTGAAACTTTAGGTTTCACCTTTTTTTATTCACTATATATCTCTATATCCCATGAAAAATATATTTAATATAATGTATAACATTTTTGGCTTGAATTCTTTATTGATGTAGTAAATAAATTACATGATTCAATGATACATAGACTTGTTTTACAATGTGAAATGATAGGTATTTCTATACTAATGTCTACAAACTCACACCATCATCCAAACTATTTATACTAACATAATATCTCAATATTAATCTGATTTCATTTATCCTTAACATCGATATTCTGAATAGAACAAAAATGGTTGTCAATTATGCAGAGCTAGAAATAAATTAACAGTTTTGATCTTAGTAGAACTCACTGAAAGTTTATGTTCCCCTAACAAAAAAAATAGATATTAGCTTTGTAAGCTCTAAGTCACTTCCTTGTAAATGTATAGTTATAACATATAGTATCTTGTTTGCGTAATATCTTCCCAACTGAAAATTATTTTGATTGGCACTCTCATGTGACATTATGATATGTGGCTGATTTTTGATTGATAAATTTTTTTTAATTTTGTATTTGATCCTTGATATATATCGCTGATTCAGTTTATAGTCACAGTTCATAGTAATTTAGTCAACAACCCTTTATGAAAATATATATATATATAAAATATAATCAAGATGTTAAGCTATTTTTTGCTATCTCGAGTACTTTCGCCATTCTAAATACAAACTAAAATTGAGGAAAAAACTCTACCCACTAGGTTTAACATTTTATCCAAAATGTTTTATTTGTATTATTACTTTTTTGAACTTTGTTTTTAACTCTCAATTTTTACGTTTGCAGAAGATATATCATGATCAGCTGTTTTATTTTAGATAGTAATACTTCTTTTAACTTTAAGATCAGTGATTTTGAGGACTTTACAAAATTAAGTAAAGCCCTCTAGGAGAAGAACAAAGACTACTTTATCAATACTGAAATAATGAATGAATTAAATCTCAAATTATAGAAAGTTGAGATTTCTACTAGAAATAATAAAAAGTATTTAGAATTTAAGAAGAATCTACATATTGTCACCAGGTTCATTTTCATTTATTTTAACGTCTAAGTTGAAAGGCTGCAGCAGCTGATTCTACATGTTAGAGTTTCCGACCTTAGGATTTTCTCTAAGTCCTACAGGTATCCGTTATACTTGAATCAACTTGGCAATTTATCACGTCTTAGAA